AACAGGCTGCCCAGGGAGGTTGTGGAGTCTCCTTCTCTGGAGATATTCAAGACCTGCCTGGACAAGGTCCTGTGCAGCCTGCTGTAGGCGACCCTGCTTCGGCAGAGGGGTTGGACTAGATGACTCACAGAGGTCCCTTCCAAGCCCTACCATTCTGTGATCCTGTGATTCTGTAATTTACAGGGAATATTGTGAGTGTAACAGAAATATTGCACAGTTTCTTCCTAGGAAGTCAAAGTCAACACAGAATTTGGATACACTGGCACCATCCACTATATCTTTAAAGATCTTTTTGTAAGTCTATAGCTCTTCCACATAACGAAAAATACCACCATGCCATGAAGCCCAAGTTATGTTAGTCTACATTCTAGACAGCAGCATGACACAAAGAAGTTCTGGCATCGGAGTAACATTTATAGAGCTCTGTTATGGATTCAAAAGCATAAGAAGCCTCTCTGTATCAGCAACGGTTCTCATTACAAAATCCTACTTGTAATATTAAAAGACTCCGAGGTCTTCCTTTTGTTTTTGTATTGTGATATAGTTTTAAAAATCTGCAGAAGTAGCTAATTCACAAAACCAAACTTTTCAAGTGCAATGTCTTTGTAATCTCTTTGAGGACAGGCATTACTATACAGCTTTAATCACAGGACAAAATAATTTTTCTGGAAAATCCCACGCTCCTAGGACAGGGTGTCTAAACAAGAACTGAACTTACATAAAGAAGACAACTGTTGTGATCCAGTCATTTCAGAAGTTAGAAACCGCTTAATAGAAGAGTGGGACACTAAGAAAGCAGCATCATGGTTTGCACAGTTTAATGTTACTCTTTAAACTGCATTCTATTTCTTTTCCTACTGGTTGGTTGAGGTGACAAGTGACAGTCACAACCAATGTGTAAAATGATAATCGCTAACCTTATACATGTATGTATAGATATGCATTTTTGTATAGGTATAAACACACACATATATATGTGTATACAGCACAACAAACATTACCAATGAAAACAAGGAAATCTCCTTATTCCAGATTCTAATGCTGAAATGGCAGTAAAAGCCTAAGTCCATACTCAGCCCCCACAAGAAGGGAAGCACATCCAGCCTCGCTATAGAAGGAGGCCGAGAAGTGAGGCCAGGCTCACAGAGCCAGTAGTTCAAAAACACAACAGTACTCAGAACAGCTGTATTCTGTATTGGCCCCAAGTTTCCTTTTTTACTAAGAACATAGGAAGAACATATTTAATTCCTAACTATATAGAAATTTCCATTTTGTATGTGTGCTGCAGTTGCGTTGCTCTGGTTTGCTCTTATTGTGAGAAGGAGGTAAAGAACAGAAACCTCGTTACTCCTGGTGTTATGAACTGGTTGTATTATGATGTGGCATCTGTGGTGTTGAAATACAGACTTGGAATCAGTACTAGAACCACCTTGGTTAGAGTGGGATATTACGGAACTTTTTGGCTATAAAAGAGTTGCCAGCTACAAATACAACATAGACACTAGTGATGTTTCTCAGGGCTACCAGTTCCGTTTGATATTCTTGTCAGTGATCTGGATGCAGGAGTTGAATGCACCATTTGCAAGTTTACTGATGACACCAAACTGGGAAGTGCTGTTGACTCTCTTGCGGGACAAGAGGC